GCTGCTAATGTTTGATGCCGTTTCACTAAGCTGATTTAAGATTTGACAATAACTGTTTCTGCACACAACCCAGACACGTTTCTACTTTGATCTTTCAATATTACTAAGCGGAAGACACAAAGTAACTTTTCAATCTGAAGCCTCAAATTCTCAGTTTCACTTACTATCAAAAGAAGCATAAATCGATAAGAAAGACAGAATCTCAACTTCAGGGACACTGATACAGATGTAAAGCATAGCTAACATTTACTGCACATCCAGCAGATCATCTTCATTGCTAAAAAGCAAACAGAACGTACAGATTCAAAGTTGTTTTATAAAAAATTGTTTAGATAGAAAAAAGTAAATCTACAAACTGGAATTAACTAGAACCCTCTAAAATTTTCTTAAAGTTAAGTAAAATGTTTTAGTAAAGAACAAAATTTATTTCATATTTATAAATGATTTGTGAGAACAGTCTGGTTGAAGGCCTGTTTGGAGGACACAAGAGGCACATCTGATATTTTATAGAAAAAACTTTGATTGGATGTAAAAAAAATATATATCTGTTATTCTTTACCCAAGTTAAAAACAATCTTGCACATTAATGTTTCAACATTTGCTATCATCAGAAGTATTTTACTAGAATATCAATGATAAATCTATTTCTGCATTCTCTGCACGTTTGCATTGATTGGATACACTCTCCACGCTTTGCTGCTGAGAGTGTTGACTGGGTTTTCATGGTTGGTTGGGTCCAACTTGTCCCATGGAATTTGGTCAGTGCTCTGTTTCTCATTATGTTCACTCCATGCTCGTTAGTGTGCAGCTTGAGAATATGCCTCACACAGATAAGAACTCTGATAGAATATTGGCTCGAAAAAAGCTAAGTTCAGTTAGCTCAGCTTAGCACAGCTAGCAGTTATTCTCTTTTCATTTGGTCTTTGTGCTAAGCTAAGTGTGGAGAGAGTTATGTCTGAAGGTAGCAAAAATGTTTCTCTTTATATTTTGATATACTGTAACAAAATATCTTTTTTTTATGTACAAGTGTAAAAAGCTCTTACACTCAAAAAAGGTTGCAAGTATTTGGAAATAGGTGACTGGAATTGTAAATGAAACCAGGTGTGAGTGAAGCAGAACCAAGGAACTACTGGAGGACAGACTAGGGAAATAAAATGCACATGAAAAGAGGACGAACTTTCTTACAGTTGCTCCCTTCTTCAGGGGTCACCACAGCGAGCAAACTCATGAAAGACTTGGCATTTGTTTTACGCCGGATGACCTTCCTGATGCAATCTGGGTTTAAACCCACAACCTCAGGATTACGCCACCACAACACTAACCACCGAGCTACCGCAGCCACCATAAGACAAGAAAACACAAGACAACCAAAACAACATTCACATCCATACACTAACAGAAGGTGGATTATTATTAGCTCAACTATACCTTGGACCAGTAATCGACCAATGTCCTTGATGATCAGAGGAAACATTTGACATATTTTAAAATCTTATGACAAAGATAGACTGTGTCCTTGTTTTTGGTTTTTGTTATGCTAATCAAATCATTGCATGTTGATGCGTTATGGTTTGACGCTTCAGGAGGATTTTTAAATTTAGCTCATTGACTGGCACACTTCTCTATATTTTCCTGAAAGCCTCCAAAATACCCGTTAACACATTAAACAACAACCTCACCAAGCAAGCAACAGTTGTACTGAAAATAGTTTCAATAACCTACACTATAGCTAAGCAAGACTAGATGATCATATTATTATCAGACATGACAATGGTGTAAATTTTCTTATCAAACTCGAGATTATTAGAAATATTCACTCTGTGCTACAGATTTGATGCTAATTGGTTTAATTTAAGTGACAGTGGGATATCGTCAAAAGTCTATCTAGTTCTCTGTAGAAGAACTGCTTCTTTCTGCTGCTTTACAGCCTAAAGTTTTACAGGGTGTTCTCGTCATATTAAGCTGTCATCATACAAATGTTTTGCAGTCCCCTTTCTGATAATGCATGCAATTTGTAATGCTTTAGACACGCAGCTCCATGTTATTCTCAGTGGACACTCATTTGCTGATGGATGAGAATATCTAAAGAACTCTTTTATAAAGGTGTCTTTCACTTTTAAGTCCCTTTTTCTTTGACTCTCATTAAGCCATGCCCGAGGCTTGGGGTAAATCACACAGAGAAGTCATTGGACGCCTTTGCTATTCAAGTGTAAGTTAAGTGGAACTACGTTGAGTTTTGTGAGGACACAAAGTTTAGAACATTTGGACTTAGCTGTAAACTAAAGGTTTTCCATGGCTGATTAAATGCTGCAAATGGAGACAGAGTAAAACCACTGGTTGTTCATGAATTTCTAATAGTTTTGTTTAATTTCAAATGTAGCACAATAATATTTTGAAGAGTGCCGACTCTTCCCAGATGGGTTCACTGCGGTGAACACAAAACTCCTGTGGAGAGTTGACCAAGGTTAGCACTGCCTGAGCCCTTGGCAGCGACCCAGATCATGTTGTGTTTCACTTCATCGTTTCCTTCCGTTATCTCTACACTTCTTTCATTTTCGATGCTGAGCTGCTGTTGAGACTCTTTGAAGATGATGGGTGTGACAAAGCAAGTTATAAGTTGTTCTGACAGGGGAAATTTGTGATCCATATTTAACTTTTTGCTCCGATGCCTGCTGGCGTTAAAAGTGAAAGCTTTAAAATGTTGAGATTTTTCTTTTTTGTTCTACCCCCAAACACATTTTGAAGGACAGAACAACTTCAAAGTAAAAAAACAAACAACAAAAAAAAACAATGAGAACCTGCAAATACTGGGTAAGGGGGAAATCCATCCATCCATCCATCCATCCATCCATCCATCCATCCATCCATC